GTGTGATGCCATTCGGGCTTAGCAATGCTCCAGCAATATTTGAAAGACTGATGGAAAGCGTACTGAAAGGCCTACAATGGAGGATAGCCATAGTGTACCTGGATGATGTCATTGTGTTTGCAGCAACATTTGATGAGGAAGTATCCCGGCTAGAGTAAGTATTCAAGTGTTTGAAAGCAGCAAATCTCAAACTCCATCCCAAGAAATGCCACTTGTTCCAGAAAGAGGTGCTTTACTTGGGTCCCATTGTAAGTGAGCATGGTGTGCGAACTGATTCTGACAAGGTGAAAGCAGTGCTTGATTGGCCAACACCAGACAATGTGGGAGAATTAAGAATTTTCTTAAGACTCTGTACCTATTACCGGAAGTTTGTGAAGGACTTTGCAAACTATAGCTGCTCCACTACATAATTTGAAAAAAAAGGCCAGAAGTTCGAATGGACAGTTTCTTGTGAGCATGCATTCAAGACATTTAAAAAAAATGGCCTCAGCTCCACTTTTAAAGCTTCCAAATCCCTCACTACTACATACTGGATTGTGATGCTAGTAATGTTGGAATTGGAGGAGTGTTGTCTCAGAAAGTGGGTGGAAACGAACATGTGGTGGCCTACTTCAGTAGGGTTTTGAGTAGACCAGAGAGGAACTGCTGTGTAACACGGGGGGAACTCCTTGCTATAGCAAAGAGTCTGACATATTTCCACCCTTACCTCTATGGGGCTATGTTTATCATCAGGACAGACCTTGCTGAATTACGCTGGTTAAGATCATTAAAGAACCCAGAGGGACAACTAGCACGTTGGATCGGAAAAATAGACCAGTATAATTATGATATTGAATATAGAGAAGGAAAATCTCATGGAAATGCAGATGGATTGAGCCGAAGACCCTGCAAATACGACTGCAGATATTGCTGCAAAAGAGATGTTGAACTAACCAGGTGCCATCAAGCTGAAGTCAAAGTGACTGAAGGAGTTGATTTTAATATCTATACCTGGTTCCACTTCACCATCCCAGAGCAGGAGAAAGATCAGGATTTGAAGCCAATAATTGATTTTCTAGAAGCAAGTGTTTTGCACCCTGCTTGGGAGAAGGTGTCTAGTCTAAGCCCTGTAACAAAGAACTATTGGGCACAGTGGGAACAATTAAAGCTTGCAAATGGTATTCTTGTACGGAGATGGGAAACTGCAGATGGGAAAGTGACGACCTGGCAAACGGTTATACCGAGAAAGGTACGGGAAATTGTCCTGCGTCAATCCCATGATAGTTTAACAGGAGGACATCTTGGAGTTAAGAAGACATTGAGTCACATAGGACAGAGATTTTACTGGATAGGTATGAGGCAAAATGTGGAAGAATTGTGCAGGACATGCAGTACATGTTGTGCTAAAAGGGGACCCAAGCATAAGGAACGTGCTCCAATGAAGTTATATCAAGCTGGCTCACCAATGGATAGAGTAGCCATTGACATTGCTGGTCCTTTGCCCCAAACTCGTGCTGGAAACAGGTACATTTGTGTGGTGATGGATTATTTCACGAAATGGCCTGAAGCATATGCAATACCAAATCAGGAAGCTACAACTGTAGGTCAGCTATTAGTGATTTCTTCTTCAGGTTTGGTATGTCATATGAACTGCATTCAGATCAAGGCCGTAACTTTGAATCATCTGTGTTCCATGAATGCTGCGAGTTGTTTGGCATATGAAAGACCAGGACAACGCCAATCCTACCACAGTCTGATGGGATGGTAGAAAAGTACAACTGGACAATAGGCTTTGGCATTATAACGGTCCAGAACATTTCAGTTGGGATGAAGTGAACAACAGAACAAATGACGCTGCTGAAGACGTGTCAGCTGAAAAAGCCACTGTCGAAGAAGAAACTCAACTCGGTTTTGAGAAGGAAAACAGTGAAGCCCTTGATGAAGTTACTACCACTGATGTGACTGTTACCGATGATAGGACATTTCCTGATGAAGCAGATAAACTCCACGTGAAGCAGAAGCCAACGAGACGGAAACCAGTACAGAAGAAGATACGTCCCATAAAATTAAGAGACTTTGTTGAATTTTAATTTTTGTGTTTGTAGTTTTTGTAAATTCTGTACATTTAATTAAATTATTGTTAATTATCTATTGGTTTAATGTAAGTGGATATTGTTCGGGACGAACAATACTAAGGAAAGGGCAGTGTTACGACAGTGGAAGTCACGTGACGCTAGTAACACGTCATGATATTCTAGAAGGATCATGTCTGTTCATGGCAACTCTGGTCTTTTCTACACACCCTCTATTCTTGTATATAAGTGTGCCAAATAAAGCGAATTTAATTAATCGGAATAGAATTGCAGACAGATACAGACGGACAATTGGGTCAAGTGCGTGAATCGTTCGTTGAGAATTATAGCGTGTGTTTAAGTTAAAGTGACTGTGAAAATTAAGTGTATTGCAAAGTTGAATTGAGAAAGAACAAACTAGTTTTATTTGAGAAAGGACTTGTATCGCTGATATTCTTCGGAAATAACTTTTACCAGTAATTAACAAACGACCAGAGACGTAACATGTCTTTCCAGAGTTCTCTCCAAAAATACACGAATGTGACTAATATAACAGACACAAGTAAAACAAAGGTGTTACACAACTTAAATTACTGTTTTTCTTAGAACAGATACATACATGTATGGATATGAGTAATACATATAGTTGCAGGTATTATATAATCCATCTTTCATTGTTACCTATGTATATAGCAATATAGCTATCAATAATGAATGTAACTAAAATTTTAATTTAAGTGGTGTTTGATATTATTGTACCGACCAGCAACATATGACTATTGATAATGTACTTACATTGTTTAGAAGGTCAACCATTGCCAACAGATGATTGTTTAGGTTTATTATAGTTGAAAACGACATCAGCAAACAGAATACCTCAGAGAAGAGTGCAAAGGTTATTTTAGTAATAACTCCTATTGTTTGAGAATTTAGTTCAGTTCTGGAAAAGTTGTGTTGCAGTACTTTTAATTTCAACACTATAGGTGTGCCTTATGTCACTCCATCACGAAATCCCTCTGAAATCACAGTTGAAAAAAAAAGTTATTTTACATAATTAAATCCCTAAACCAGTAAAAAATATCTTCTTGTAAAAAGGTCAAGTTTTGTTTTATTCCTTAATTGACAATTATTATGGTCTTGTTAACTTTTGTTTCATCCAAGAAGTGGAGACCAGAAATGCATGCAATTTATATGGTTATGTTGTATATAAATTATACTCTACAAAGACAACTAATCAGCCTTATCATATACATTGTTTGTGACAACATACTTCACAACATGGTTCTGAGAATAACTTAATTTTCACTATTTATAACATATAATTATAAAAACTAGTCCTAGGTTACATTAACTGTTAAATATAAAAGACTTGGTTGTTTATTTAAGACATATAAAATTGTATTCCCCCAAGAGAAAGCCTTCTAATAAAGCTTTCCAACAATTGTATTGCTTTATGTATATTTTATCCAACAAAAACTAAATTAAAACGATACTGGTGCTTTACTTTATTATTATTATGGTTACTACTGCACTTACTTACACAAGGACTTAGTAAAAGTAAAATATTTTAAAAGTTAGTTAAATCTTATGTACCTTTAAGGAAATACATAACTACTTTGGAGCTATTAAAATTTAGTGATGAAAACTATTTTTGATGTTGACATCTTTAACGCACCTTTGAACATATTCGAACGATATATTTTTTTACTTAATATCACTTTGTGACTGCCAAATTTATTTATCTTCAGTTTTTATTACTTTAATATTGAACATCAAATGACCCACTTTTTAAATTTTACAAAGTAGTCAGGTTATAGTATTTTTCTCTTTCAAATAATGAAAAGTAATAAAAACTCAAGTAATTGCTTTCTCGTTGCATATCTTGCAATGTGAAGTTTATAAGACTATTGCTTTTTCAAGTCGCACAACTATATCAGGTACAAAAACAAATTACAAATGGCTCATATATACAAATAAAGAAATATATAAAGTGCAAAGAACACAAGTTAGTGAGTTAAATTCATGGGACAATATTTTTGGGTTATTCTTAAAATGTTTACAAGGAAAGACAGTAAAACTGTTTGCACGGAAATCTTTATCGAAATTACTACTACTAGTGGCATACATAAACTGTGATAAAGGTGAGGCTTCAAGTTAAACTCCAGGAGACCGCTTTACCCAGTTTTATGTTTTTGAGATACAATTTTTTATGCTTAGGGGTGCCCGTCTGATGATACTCAGTCCCATTCATATAGGCCCACTTGTACTATACAAAAAATTAATTTTGATACCCAGAAGCCTTTCCGATACACAGTTGCACAATCGCTCATTACAACTTAAAAAGTCAATACCTGGAGGTCCCCAATCATCAGCCCACCCACAATATTTAATTAAATAAAATATAACTGATCAGTGTTGTTTAATTACAATGTACTTTCGGTAGTTCATTATTAAAACAGACGTAATGACTGACACTGTCCAATATGCAAAGGACAAACGCACTTCGGTAAACAACACATTCTGTAATTTCTCTAAACGTTACACCCGATAGTTCCGAAAGACCAATTTTTCGAATATTGAACGAAAAATCAATTACACATGTAGGCCTAATGTTCATTCAGGTTGCTATATTTAATACATAAACAGTACTTTGTGCATAATACTGTTACGTCTACGTTTGTCAATTAACTTTCCGTAACTTCGTTCCGACGAAACTTTAACGACACAAGTCCTTACTTAATAAAACT